ATATGAGAGTTTAGGACTTTTTTATAACCTTCAAGCTGGGCTTTGGAAGCCTTAAACAGATATTATTTAAGTTTTGTGACCAAAATTTTCGATCTCTTTTTTTTTTAACTAGATTTTTGCAAATAATCTTTTAACTTTAATGTTAAAAATGAATCTTATGAAATCTTATTCAAAATTAAATATAAATAATTTAAGACTAAATTAGCATACTTATTTGAGTAAACTTCTAATATGCTCTTGACAAATGTGTAACAAAGTTTAATACAAAGCAGAACAATAATAGTCTAAAGTGATATCGATGAAAATTAATTATTTTCTTGTTCAGCTACATATTTAGCAGCAGCTAGAAAAATTGTAATCGAGCATATTTGTGCTGAAGATAAATCTTTACTATTGAAATTGGAGAGAATGTATGGTTTCTTGTTAAAAGCTAATAGCTAATAAAAAAGCAGACATAATCCCAACAATGATGCTTTCAGTAGAATATAAGTCTCAAAATATGTTAAGATTAAAATAATGATTGTCTTTTTAATTAACTTAATTTCTTCCCAAAAATAACTTCTGTTATTGTATTCATTAATTAAATAACAAAAATGTTTTCTAATTTAAATGTTATCATGCTAATCTTTCTTAATGTACATCACAATATAAAGGGAAAAAGGAATGATTATACTAAAAATGCGTATTCCTGGAATTACAAAGGCAAAAATCAAAATTAAATGCTCGCTAGTTCCAAAAAGAAGTGAAACATCGCCTTGTATATAACTCTAAGTCCAAACAGTTCTTTTTGAGACAATGGAAAAATACCTAAAATAATCTAAGTTGAATTACGTTTTAACTAATCCACCACAATTAGAAACATATAGGTAGATTAGTGTACTAGAAATAGTTTCGAAGTTAAAATTGCTCAATCCAATCTTCTTATACCAATTATAAATGAGATATCCTGTTATTATTAGTATAAATTAGGATATTATGAGTACAAGCATTGTAATAATTTTAGAGTAAATCAACTTTATTTATTGATTCTCTGATAAATAGCGATCAAGATTATTAATCATAGAGTAGGATATTGAACCCTTTGTTACATCTTATATTGATGACTATATTAGGATCTTTAACAGGTTTTAGACATCTTGTTGTAAATTTTAAATTTAATTCCTCTAATTCAAAATTTGGTTATAAAGACTACAATATTATCTAAATATTACAGAAATTTCATCCTAATTTCTCACTTCACAATATTAGCATAAATTAGAACAGGCTATACAATTTCCATTAAGTTCAACCAACATAGGTTTCTTGTAGTAATTTAATGGGCATCTCATGTAAATGAAACTGTATACTTTACTAAATCATTTTGAATTAAGAAATTCCTCATCAGTGTTTCAAATTATAATAATATCATCCCTATTATCCAACGGAAGAAGAAGTAATATTATTCCCATAATTTGAATTTATTGTATACACTTGATCAATTGAATAGAAAGAAATATTGGGACTCAGTAGTTAAGTAGAAATTAGAGCCTATAATAGAAACATTGGTGAACTTTTAATGTAAAAGAATTTTTGAATTTCTATCATTTTGTAAAAGGAGTAATCATCATCGAGTTGAAGATTGAATATTTGTATCATTTTTAATAAAACTTCATGATGAATCGCACAAATGCCTAAAGTGTATAGGAATTTTGCTAATTGAACTAAAGAATCTTTGGTAAAAGTAGTCTCTTAAGTTAAAATCTGATTAACTCCTCTTAAGGTTTCCATCACTATTGAAGTAGTGTTGTTAATAGATTTTTTGAGTGTAAGCGAGAAATTTGTAATTCTGTGTAGATTGTTATAAAACTGGAGGTACATTAGGGATTGGTTCCTTAGGCTTTGAAGGTGGCATAGCATTAAGTGTTCCTTTAGGGCTTCCTGGAATGGCAATTGGAGGAAAAGTTGGAGATTTTGTTTGAAGAGCAGCTGATAACTTATTTATCAGAGCTATTGACGATTAGTGTGAAGAATGGATATAAATTAAATCCAAGTAAGCGTCCTTTAATTAAATGGTAACGTATCAAGGATAATGCGAGAGGTTTAATTTTAATTGGTTAAACAAATACTCATATAGCATGTTTAATAACTAATATTAGTAGGGATAAAACATAAATTTAGCCTCAAGAAGATGTTGGAAATTAAATTTGATTAGCATAAATATTGAGGTTTTAATGATTCTTCTTCAATAATTACATTTAGCCTTCTAGCAACAGCATATGAATATATTAATGATCATGAATTTCTGTAGCAATTTATTATGAAACAAATTTATGTTATTGACACCTCTGTGTGTGAAGTTAACTTAAAAGTTTTTAGATCATTACTTAGTATATTTTGAATTGAATAACACAATTTATTATTATCAATAATAATTTTGTATCATTGTGATTATGAACTTAAAATATATTAATTTCAGGGCTGAAAACATAATTATATATAAAATCTATGTATATTCTACAACTAACTAAACTAATTAAAATAATAAGAGTTTTGTAATTCGGAACATTATTGTTTGCTCCAAACAATTAAAATAGTTTGATGCATTTTGGCTACAGCTACACAATACAAGAAAGAAACTTTATGAAAATTTCATTGATGTTTAGATACTCCTGAATGAATACAACTAAAACAAAAATGATTAGCATGAAAAAAAAAGAAAAGCAGAAAAAATATAAATTTAACAAAATTATAAGAATAAATTCAATAATCTCTAATTCAATAAGGAGGATTATTTGCGGGTATCAGAAATAAAAAATAAGGAGATATTGTAGTATTATCGTTACAGTCATATCTACTACCATCTTAATAGGTCACTATGCTGCACTGTTAATGTATTTTGGGAACTAACAATGTTTGACTTATTAAGTATCTTCCAACAATGGTCAACAAAAGACCAAATAAAAATACAGATTGAGCTCAGGCGGTCTATGTTTTCAACAGGCTAATCTCCTGGAGAAGGAGGAAAATATATTGGAGAGCTAAATAAGGAACAAAGGAAGTCTAAAAGAGTAAAATTAAAAAAAGGAAAATTCACATCAATTATTAACTTAAGAGGCTCAAAGGAATTAATAAAATTATATATTCTTTTTATTATTTTTACTCAACTATTAGAAGATAGAAGAAATCTTAATTATGATTATTAACAGAATTAATTCTGTAAACTATCGCTCAAATCATGTTAATTTGATTTTAGAGGATAATTAACCACCTTTTTACTATAGATTAAACCATTTAAATTTACCCGATTGGAACACCTCTTATAACATGATCTATAATTTAACAAAAACTTGAAGTGTATTGCATCTATTTCAGTTTTAAAAAAATTAATTTCTTAATACACAAATTTTAGATGAATCAATTTTGTCTTAAATAATTGATTTTTGCAGCAGATAAAGCTAATGAGAAATTTAGTAGATTTATTTGGATCAAAACTGAATATTATTAGACACAATATTTAAGAGTTTGCTGTTTGAAATATGATTAAGACAATACATTTACACATAATTCTTTTTCACAAGAACCACTTTGAATTAAATGTATTTTATTGATACATCAATATAATAAAGCAGGGCCAGCTTGTTTTTAAAAAATTCTCCTCTTCTTTTATTAAAGTCATGAATTCTAAGATATATGACTTTCTTGTAAATAAAAAGCTTATTGCTATAATTTTTCTATTAATAGCTGCTTAATTTATGTTATCATCTTACTTAAAATAGTCTTATACAGACATGTGATGCCTCTTGTTCACTTGATTAATTGCATTTGTTGTAACAAAAAAATTAAACCAAGATAGGCAATTAAAAAGCCATATATTTCTCTTACTTTGTCAATACGTCCTTATTACTAAATGTCTACAAGAAAGCGAATTATAGTTCCTCTCTTCCATTATCCTCCTAATGGTATTTTGGTATATAATGGACTTAAATTTATTCACCTTAGCAAGCGATTCTTGTTGGGATCTCTTGTGAGCTGTTGGTCTGAATAGTTTATCAATGAGCTATTTGAGGTCGATTTAGACTGATTGAGAGTCAGTTTATGGGCTATCCGGAGCAATATAGTCAAAGTGAGGCTAAATGTTTCGATGAACTATAATTGAGTTAGTATCTCAAAGGGAGGATCCTATTTAGGATCTTGAGCTGGTTCCTTATGAAACTTGTTTTATCCTTTGCCGATTTTCTATTTTTAATGATGCCCGATTAAGGAGAGATCAATGCTCCAAGATATAAAGTTTTTAACTTCACTATGCTCATATTTTCAGTTTGAAAAGTTTGAAAAACATGCTTATTTGTAGTTACTATGAAAAAAGGCTCAAATTAAATTAAGAAAACAAATAAATGCTATAACTATATGTTAATCCTCTAAAAAATGGCATAAATATCTTTCCTGATCCAAGTCTTAATCCTCATAGTTTCGATTAACCCTGTTAAATCAGTATCCACAAAATTAAATAAAAAAAAAGTAACTAAGAATCTGGAAAATATAATACTGTCTTTGCCCTCATGCTATGTATCACATCCTAGCCATTCTACAATTTGTTTGTTAAGGCAATATTTAGAAGATCAGGCACAAGATAACTGTATTAAGTGAAAAATTATTTTCTTAAAATAAACTCTTGTTTAAACTGTTAGCTTAGTTTAAGAAGAACTTCAATGAAATTCTTTAAATTCTCAATCATATTCTTTAAATTCTCAATCAAATTAGATAAATATAATTTAAGTTCTCTTGAATTACTTAATATAATCTCCTCCAAATTTATCATTCTTCCAACACAAAGTGATCGACATTATATTTCCCTTCACAGACACTAGGTTTAAAGGTCCAAATCTATCACGATTTTAGATGATGCTCCAAGTACATAACTAGTCAATACTACATAAATGGATTATAGTATGAATAGCTAGAAAATAGTTAAGTTCTATACGGAAATTATTTCAAAAAAATGCCCAATATATAAATTATTGTAGTAGTTTGCTTACTTTAAATTAAAATTAATTAATAAAAATGTAAAACAACACTCATATTTCTAAACTTTGTTAAATTAAAGAGCTAAAACTTGACTAGTATATCTAACGATTTACAACTTTTAATAACTGAGATCAATCTAAAAAATAATTTCATTGACTTTAAAAACCCTTCAAATTATGAAAGTAATACTCGATAAGAAAGAGTAAAATATAATGGTATGATTTCTCTAATATTCTTTAATTTTGCTAATGATATATAAAACTGTATTTCTAATTAAATTTGAGAATAGTTTCTAAGAGATTGTATGTCATCATTTTAAGGTGTCCTTATTCATGTAGTAATTAAATATTGGTTTTAATATCTGTTATCAAAATTAATTACAACTTTTACGATATTATAATTAAGCTTAATTAATTTTCCATGATATTTTATTTATATATTATTTTTTTTTCGTTTTGAACTACTTATTTTTAATTTCCTCAATTATTAAAATAATATTTATCCTTATGTTGAATTTTTTTATATATTAATATCATTACGGTTGTCCTGCGCCAATAGTATAAGAATTAGCGTTATTCTTACTCTAGACAATATCCTTGAACTAATCCCATTTATAATCAAAGTATTTCAAAAAATTTTAGAAACAAATTGGATTATTATTTCATTCCATTCTTTGGAATCGTTCAATTGCATATAAAATTCTAACTACTTGAACTATTCTCAATTAGTTTTCATACTAAATTACTGAAACAGTACTATGCTTATAAGTTGTAAGGATAAATGAACCTACATCAAATTAAGTTCTTACTTA